CAGTAGGTCCCCCTCTCATTAATATTCATGGCCCCCACCCGCCGCTCAGGGTGGGGGAGGGGGGGAGGACAATAGGTCCGCCCCCCCTTATTGTAATTTATGTCTTTTTTTTCAACAGTGAGCAGCCATAGGCTGCTCACTGTTTAGTAGACATGCCCCTACTCGCGGTATAGCGAGTAGGGGCATTTGGGAGATTTTAATCTCCCTTGTGCTATTATGGGGGTCATATTGACCCCCATAGAGTGAGAGGGGGTACTGGGGGGCTTATGAAGTGGTGGGGAGCACTGCTCCCTGCCGCTTCTATAGTTACATATTACAAGGAGGGAGCTGCATGCCGGTAGCTCCCTCCTTGTAATAAACTAAACGAACAAACATACACTGATACATGTGTGTTTGTTTGTTCGGCTGATATACCTATTCACTCATTCGTCTGTCTGATGAATGAATGAATAGCTGAAATTCCCGTTCGCATGTCCAGGTGTTTCACTGGGCATGTGCGGGAATCTCAGTGTCTGCCTAGTGTGGGCTGATGACGTGTCCCTGAGGGACTTCACCTACCCACACAAAGATGGCGGCGCCCTGAATCAAGATCGGGGCAGAAAATAAGGATTTAAAAATAGGTAATGTGGGGGGCTTAGGGGCATTTGGGGGTGACTAGTGGGTCTATTGGATGTAGTGGAGGCGGGAGAGGGGTTAAAAAAAAAACGGGATTCGGCATGACAGTGCCGCTTTAAAGGGAGTTTTAGAGGAAATTGCACAACTCAATATCAATATTCAAACCTTGGGGCTGTAAAGTCCCAAGGTTAAATATCCATCTCATTTCGTTCTGGCCTAGGATTTTATTAAAATCTCATCCTCGCCAGTTTCCCAAAACTTTATGGATACCTAAAAATTGTAGTCCCTTGGGGTTGCTGTTGTGTATATTTTTAAAGTGGTTTGACACCTCTTTAAAAACATCCTTTTTTTGATGTTTCTTATATGTTCTTCCACCCTTGTAGGTAAATTATGTTTGGTATGGCCCACGTATTTCAAACCGCACAGGCATTCCAGTAAACACCTAACACAGTAACACCTACAAGCCCTTATGGCATCTATTACATTACAGGAGGTGTTAGATACAATCATTTCATTAAACCAGCACACTCTCCAGTGCCCTCTCCACTCTACTGAGACTGCTCTTATCAAACTTACTAATGACCTAATTGCAGCTAAATCCAAAGGTCACTACTCCATACTAACTTTCCTTAACCTCTCTGCTGCCTTTGACACCAATGATCATGCTCTCCTCCTTCAAACTCTTGAATCACTTGGTCTCTGTGACTCTGTCCTCTCATGGTTTTCCTCTTATCTCTGCCAATGCTCATTCAGTGTCTCCTCTTCCAAGGATACCTCCTAACCTTGTCCTGTCTCGGATGGAGTTTCCCAAGGCTAAGTCCTTGGTCCCCTTCTATTTCCTCTTTATACTGCCTCTCTTGGCAAACTTATTGCCTCTTTTGGATTCCCCTACCACCTGTATGCTCATGACACTCAGATATACCTCTCTTACCCGGACCTCTCCCCTGCTGTCTTGCAATGTGTTACTGCTTGCCTTTCTTCCATCTCTGACTGGATGTCCTCGCGCTTTCTGAAACTCAATCTCTCTAAAACTGATCCTTGCTCTCCCTTCAAGTCAGTGATATCCACATAAGCCCATCCTTGCAAGCACGCTGTCTTGGCATCATACTTGACTCTGGCCTTACATTTGAGCCTCACATCCAGTTTGTTGCCAAATCCTGTAGATACCAACTTAAAAACATAGCCCGCATCCGCCCCTTTCTTACGCAAGGAGCTTGTCCATGCTCTAGTAATTTCCTGCATGGATTATTGTAACCCTCTCCTGATTGGTCTCCCCAAAAGCCGTATTGTCCCGCTACAGTCTGTAATGAATGCTGCCGCCAGACTTATTTTCCTCTCTAGTCGGTCCTCTCATACCTCACCCCTCTGCCAGTCCTTACATTGGCTCCCTGTATCCTATAGGAGTCAATTCAAAGTGCTAACCCATACATTAAAACCACTGAACAATTCTAGCCCCTCTTTTATCTCTTCACAGATCCAAAGGTATGCCCCTCCTTGTTCCCTCTGCTCTACCCGTGACCACCTCCTGGCCGCTGCTCGCACCCATACGGCCAACTCACACTTGCAGAACTTCTCGCGGGTGGCTCCTTTCCTATGGAATAGCCTGTCTACCCCCATCAGACTCTCCCCTAGTCTTCAATCCTTTAAGAAGTGTCTTAAAACCCATCTCTTTAGGAAAGCTTATGGCCTCCCAGAGTAACCTCTACCTTACATACCTGTCTCTTGCTCTCTCCTATAGGGCAGTGCTTTACTCTGTCCTCCAGCTTTGCTTCACTCCTACCCTATTTGATTGATATTTCCTGTCCTAACGTGTCTTATACCCCACCTCCTATAGACTGTAAGCTCATTTGAGCAGGGTCCTCTTCAACCTATTGTTCCTGTAAATTTTCTTGTAACTGTCCTATTTATAGTTACATCCCCCCTCTCATAATATTGTAAAGCACTACGGAATCTGTTAGCGCTATATAAATGGCAATAATAATAATAAATCAACAGTTTCTCTGGAGCCTACTATACACAATTTACCAGCACACTGGGCCCTTACTCGGAGAGAGTGTTTAACAAGGGGGAAGAGTCTGGAGCACTGCCATTTGAAAAGTTGATATAACTCTTCATAACCCTGGCAAAACTCAGTACCATTGCCACGATTTCTGACAAATCCCACTTTTAAATTGCAATGCAAAAATATATGTAAAACTTTTGGCAAATAGACTAGTGGACATCATTCACTCGGGTCAAACAGGATTTGTAAGAATGATACAAGGTTCTGATAACTTCAGAAAATTAGTTCACTTACTCCATATATTCCACACATCTAGCATAACCAGTCTGCTCATGAAAAATACTTTGACCAGCTACACTGGCAGTACATGAAGATGGCCTTGGAGGCACTATGATTCCCCTCTACTATACTCCCAGCCCTCCATCCAGATATACTATTCAGGTTTTACAGGTTTATTAACGGAAACAGGTAGAGATGTCCTATCTCAGCCACACTATTCATATCGGCTTTAGAGCCCTTAGCACTTCAACAATGTCTGGATATTTCTGGGGTTTCCTTTTGGGAATCAAAAATTATTACTTAATCTCTTTGCTTCTTGTTCCCCGTTTGCTGACTGTAGTGTTGGTGCCCCTTCCGTGTGTGAGGTCTCCATTTGTGTTGTTTTAGTTGGTGTGGGCATCTGGAGCATGGCCCCTATGTCTCTGTCAGGCTTTTGTGTCCGGAGTCTCATGCTCGAGGAGTCTGATAGTGAGGTAGGTTCAGGCTGTTCTGGTTTGCTTGGGCTGTGTGCCTCGAAGAAGTGATCGAGGAACGTTTCCAGGCCTCGCGGTGTCGGTGGCTGGTAGGCCGCAGTTTTATGCCTCTGCTTATTTTGTCGCTGAGCATACTGGAAAGGCATCTTGCTGTGCGGGTAGGCTTCCCGGTGCCAATTCTTGGGGTGGCAAGGCTAGATGGCGTTTCGGGGCGATGATATAAGGCCATTGTGACAGGGCCTGTGAGGCGCTTTCAGGAATGGCGTCTGTTCAGGTTCATGCGTTGGCTCCGCCCCCATGTTTATTGTATATTTTTGTATGCACTGTGACTATTTTTGCTCATAATAAACATTCATTTATTAAGTTCTGCCTTTGTCTAGTTAAGAGTCACGCTGAAGAGACTAATTAGTATTTTGCAATTACATAGATATTGTGCTAAGTAATATTTAGTGGGTTTTTATTATTGATTTACCTGGGGGACCAAGGCACCCTATTTATAAATTGTCTTGGTGGTGGCAGTGTTAACATAGTAATAGTTATATTATCATGTTTACGTGTGGGTGGTTTTAAGGGGGATTTTGTCATTATTTTCAGTCTAGTGCAGACAAATAGTGAACTTTAACCCTTTCACCACCACAACTATGTCACGCACACTCTTGGAGTAGGGTGCGTTCATAACACCAGGTGCTGCCCTTTGGGATATTCCCCTCAGCCCTATCATCTCATATACACCTATGAATGGAGTTTGGACTTTATAAAATACTTAGTAAAGACAAAAGGGGCACACCCCAAACATGCATTTTGCAGGAATGGTGTTGCCGTAGTGACCAAAATATATACATAATACAGATTAAGGAACACGTAAAAATAAATTTTTAAAGTTTATAAGGCTACTTAAAATCACCTATCTCAGCAAACAAATATGGGGATTCCATTCCACTATATGGCCATATTGTGTTAAGTCCACCACTATGTCACAGTACCCTAATATTGGTGGGTCTTACACTAATTTTAACATGGAAGATTCACATGCTAATTTGCATAATATATGCTTTCCTGTAGTCACCTCCAAAGGTATAGTGGATGGGTGGGGATTTTTCTTTTTTTTCTCATGCTATATATCATCAATTATAGTAACCCAAAATTGGAGGATCCTACAATTTTAATGGCTTTGAAGGCCCCTTTGGAGGTGACCACATTAATATATAAATTTGAGAAGGGCTTGGATAGTAATGTCACTTTTATTATAACTTTTATAGAGTAGATATATGGTATGCATTGTGACTATATACACCAAATTTTTTGCCCATGCACATACCTACTTATTATCAAATCTATATAATATGTTTGAGGTTTTAAAACAGGTGTGTCAGATCAGTTAAGATCATTTTTATCTGCTCTTACAATCCAATATTGTATGTTCAATAATGCAATTACACATGCCACTATAGTAAAACAACCTACATATAGGATCTCCGTAAGCTTTGTTAGAGACACAAACTTTCTGCAAGGAGGAGACCTGCTTTATATACTTTGTTTAACATATTCAGACAAGCAGGAGTTGAATATGTCATATGAATTTATACTGTAATATTTTCTTTCCTACTTTTTTAAACTATGTGTTGGAATTACTCATAAGCATAAACAATTGAAGGCACACAAACATACCATGCTTTATACAAGACAAATAATATGTATAAGTATGTTTACAATACAAAAAACGGAAAATAGATATTTGGTTTTATAGCTTGGTGTTCAGGAGATCAATTATACTGCTTACATGTTTTTGATCGACATACTTTATTGCAGAAATAAGTAGATTTGCAATCCCCCTGCTTATTTCTATTCATGCTTGTTTAGGCACAGATTGATACAAACTACAATTCAAACTACATTAAACCAATAATATCCAGTGTTCTTAATGCGTATATCTTTATCCATTGTCTGGTGTGACCCATATGTTGCAAAAGCTGTGAAGTAGGCCTATGCATCAATGTAGAGTTTTAAATGAACCTTACCATGTTTAATGAGAAATCACTAATAAAGCAACATGATCATAGATCGCTATAATTATTTATACAACCCTTTTTAATGTTTAATAGATCATAGTAATTATTAATGCAACTTATAATGCTTATTGTCTAGTGGTGATTGAAGGATATCAGTGACATTAAAGAAACACTTGCTTCTTTAGCTCTTTAATGCTAAGTTTTGTTAATGGTATACTGTAATGGTTTGTCGTGAGCTATGTTTTGTTAATGGTATACTGTATTTAAATGATGGAGCTGAAATTTGACATCATATCTTCTGAGTCAGAGTGTATTTATCAATTCACAGTTCCCTCCTTTATGCATTTACTCGTGTGTTAAGAAAAACTTGTATGTTTTTGCCCTGCACTTTATAATTAACAAAAAACAGCTTTACTGACCTTCACACTAATGGAGTTATTCACTAAGCCAGGGATTACAAAGATTTAAAAGGAATTACTTTTTTTTCAAGGGAGCTATACATTTGTAGGCTGTCTCCACATACACTAGTATGTGCTTCATTAAAGTTAAATATTCTGAAAATTGGGTTTTAAGTGAATAGGTGATATCTGGTTTGGGAATTTGTATCTGAGAAAGAATATTGGGTTTTGCTGATCTGATGTCTTTATTGTTTGTTTGTTTGTTTTTCACTAGGAATTTTAACCACTTAGGGAAGGACAGTTAATATTGTACATGCTTTCATAAAAGGGACACTATAGTCATTAAAACAACTTTAGCTTAATTAAGCAGTTTGGACATATAGAGCATGCCTCTGCAGTCTCACTGCTCAGTTATCTGCAATTTAGGAGTTAAATCACTTTGGTTTCTGTTTTTGCAGCCCTAGCCAACCCGCCCCTGCTTGTAACTCACACAGCCAACATGAAAAAATGGTTTCCTTTTACATCAGATGTTACCTTACTATAAAAGTTTTTTTTATCTCCTTCTCTGTAAATGTAACTGTAATCACACACAGGAGGCTCCTGCACGGTCTTTCAAGCTATTAACAGAGGAGGAGATACGAAACTCTAACTTAAACAAAATGTGCAATAAAGGAAGTATAAACATTAGCTTTCACTTTACAGAAAGTGTTTAACAAGGCTTTGCAAGTCACATGCAGGGAAGTGTGCCTAGGGCTGCATAAACAAAGTGATTTAATTCCTAAATGGCAGAAAGCTGAGCATTGGGACTGCAGGGGCATAATCTATTCACCAAAACTGCTTCATTAAGATAAAGTTGTGTTGGTGGCTATAGTGTCCCTTTTAACATAGCAAAAACAAATGAACACACAATATGCTTGTCACAATGTCAAAAACAAATGTGACCCGCTGTGTTTCCTGGAAAATTAGAGTAGCCCAGTGATAGTAAGATACTAAATACAAATACACAACAACCTCTGTTTAGAGTGAATGAAATGTCAAATCTATCTCTATTTGATCGTAATAGAAATAGCGTAGTAGTTTGAGTTGAAAGATAGTAGAAATAGAAAATTCAATAAATTCAATATTGCTCGAATGTACATAAAAGTATATAAATAGTGAAATATATAGAATTATAGTGTAGAATGTCTATGGTGCAAGCTTTATTGTGTCTGGATCTATAGACATCAAGACACTGCCTATTATATAGTCTTTTATAATATACTCAAAAAGAATGTAATAATTGGATCCTCCTTAATGATATCTAAACCTATCTAGGTATCAATGTATCAAAGAGTATATAAAGAGGCACTCTGTCAGGTGGAGTCTGGTTAGTAAGAAAGCATATAGATAGTGAGTTGCCAAAAAAGAATGGCAATATAATTTAAATTAATAATGATTCTTATGTAGCCAAATAACCACAAGTAAAGGTAAATCAAAGAGGCTGCTTTCGTTTGAAAAAATATTCCTCCTTGAGAAATGTTCTAATAAAGATTACCTAATGATGTGCCTACTAACAAGGTATCAGAGGGTCCAATCTGTCAAGAGATTAACAGGGTTGAGGATAGATAAGTAGGAATAAGTAGAAATATACTGCTAGAAAATCTAGCAGTAGAGATAAATTACAAAGCCACTCTCCCTGTAAAACTAGCTTAGACCGAAAAGGAGCAAAAAGAATGAGACATAGTAACAAATTAATCAAAAGAACCCATGTGTGGCAAACTTAATGTGCCGTGCTAAGTGCTCATAAAATCAAAAGAAAAGCAAAACGCCCGACGCGCGTTTCGGTGCTGTGTAGACGCGCATACACGATAGAATTGAAAGATAATATAGATGAAGCCTTTTCATTGTCACTTATTTCTAAAGATGAACATCTGTTCATGTACAGAAAAAAAATCTGGTAACTGCTACGTTCTTTTCATTACCTAAGGTGCACAAACAACTACCGATATTAAGTGGTAGACCAATTGTTTCAGGCAATTCTAACCAAACTCAAAATGTGAGTACCTATGTGGACCAGATCATCAGAAAAACAGTCACTGATCTACCTTCATATTTAAGGGACACCAAACACACCCTGAACATCCTAGATGGAGTACATCTCCCTGATAACGCCATCCTATGCAGTTTGGATGTAGAGAGCTTATACAGTTCCATTCCACATGAAGTAGGCTTAGCACATTTAAAAGTTTTTTCTTGATACTAGCTCAACAACTCCAAAAAGGCACAACCAATTTGTACAGGACCTTCTGCGTTTTATCCTTACGCATAATTATTTAATTTTTCAGAGTAAATACTACCACCAGGTGAGGGGGAGGTCTATGGGGACGGCTTGCGCCCCCTCATATACCAACTTCCACCTGGGGTGGTGGGAAAAAAAATAATTGTGTTTGGGTCTCATCTAGATAGATATCCCAAGTACATCAGTGTCTGGAAGCGTTATATTGATGATATAATAATAGTATGGATCAATACCACCAAACTCTTCAAGGAATTCGTCGAGACATTGAATGATAACGATATAAACCTTTAGTTGACTTTTGAAATAGGCAGAAAAAAGATTACTTTCCTAGACATATCAATTATGATTACAGGTGAGGGACACCTGACGACCACATTGTTTTTGGAAACCTACATCAACTAATAACCTATTAAACTGGAAGAGTTAGGTATACCAGTGGGACAATACCTGAATTTACGACG